GATATCTAGAGATAGCTGCGCGATGTCTGCCGCCACCGCTTCAGAGAGAAGAAACCGGCTTACATTTAATACGGTAGGTAATGGTAGATATGCGCAGGTGCTTCGGGTGGACCGATATAAGATGATAGGTTAGGTCGTAAATAACGGCCTGTAGTTTTGAAGGGAGAATCCCGGGAAAGTCCGCGAGGGTCCTCATTGCTGAAAAGCTGTTATTTCGTGAAATTTAAAAATTCTGTAAATTTTTAAGTGTCACACCCGCTATATATGGAAAAACTTTTCAAGTGTCAGCAAATCCATTTTTGCACATTCTTAAAAATGGAGAGACATTCGAGCAGAAAGGAAGATTGATAGTATAATATGGCAATATGATATAATATATAGCTGACGCCCCTTCGTAAGCCAACGGAACTTCATTGCGTTATAGATACGTCGTATTTGAGGCATCAAGCGCAGCGCGCGTTGTCTCAAGACGACGGCGAGACGATAGGCGTTAGCTTACGAAAATCGAAATGGGCAGATCGTGCCTGAAAATTTATGTTTGTAATTTGAGATATTTATAAAAATAATTATATAATTCTGCAATGTACGAAATCTCTCTTGGAAATGTTATACATGATACATATTATGAAAGAGAAAAGGTGCATTATAATTTGCATCTTACTTATCGAAATAATTATTTCTATATATACTTTTATTTTATTTTATTCTATATGTACTTTTATTCAAGGAAGAATAAAAACTAGTAAAAAAAGATAATGCCCAACTGTTTGTCGAGTAGCTTTTAGGATTCATCATGACGATATTCGCTAAATCGTGAATCTTGAGCGTTTTGTATAGCAAAAAAAAAAAGATATATATTTCGTAATTTTTGTTCAGAAATCTCAAATTATTACGAGTAGGTAAAGAATTTGTTAAAATTGCTACAAAATTAATCCAAACTACTGCACATATATAGACACTTTCTAGCGAATAAATCTCGAAAGAAAAGTAAACGCGAATTTATTGAATCGACGGCGTTTTACTTCGCAGATTTGCGAAAACCAGACTGGATGCGTTCGAAGATGAAACCCTCGATTACTCAAAGTGGTTCAACGACTCAGCGGCGTGGCTTAACGATCTCTTAACGCGGGCAGCCATTATCTGGAGCACATCGATCACCGCGATTAATTCTATTGAGCTCTACAATCTACCTGTGGTGATCGGCGGCGGTGGTCTGCGTTGGAATTTCGAAATGATCAGTTGTCTCCTCCTCCTCTTCCTCCCTCCTCTCCCACCACCCTCCCCCCCGTCTGCTATTTCACTCTGCAACACTCCTCTTTCTTTTACTTGCCATCCCTCTCCTCATCTCCACCTGGTACGACGACCGGGTTTAGGCGAGGTTATCAGCCGCATTAGACAAGACGACGAACTCTCATGCTCCGTTCTTCCTCTTTTCTGTCGCGCCGGGCAGTTAAGCGAATAAGCACCCCTTCCTTTTTGTTTCATTCCCGCCTGTCGTAAAAAGCATATCTACGAATCAATTCTGTCACACTAAATTTCCGCATTGTCGCAAAAAAAGTATTCTACAAAAAATAATAGACTGTAAAAGAAAGAAATAAATGTGGAAAAATAGAAGAAAATCTTTCAACGCTAATTTTACAAAAATTTTAATTACTTTACATATTTTCGCATTAAATAAATTCAGATTTGTTTTTTATGCTGAAAATCGGTTTTAAGCTAAAATTGATTTTTACATAATAATCGGGACTGTCAACGATGTTGTCAATAATTAATTATGCTGTCACATGATGGTTCGACAATGCTCGACACTTCAAAGGTAAATTTCTGAAAGAAAAATTCTTTTGTCTAAAAATACACTTTGGAACTTTAGAATGAGAACGGTCAAATAATACAATTTCCTTCGGTTCTTTTCTTTGATTCTTGAAATTTTACGGTGGATTTTATTTTACAACTTCTCTTTAAGATCTCACAACGCAGCCATGGCCGCGGCGAGTACTTAGAAGCCTTAAGGTTTGTAACAATATTTTAGAGATTAGAATTCTAAAATTTTAGAGATTAGATATGCATTCTTCTACCTGAATCTATTGAATTCGGCATTAGCGGGATTCCTTTGAGTGTATCTGACCGATTCACCGCGCCGCAGAAAAATGAAAGCGTTGCACACGCGATGAAGAGGCGCGAGGCGCAATATGCAGATTTAACGTCGCGAGTGACCTTTGTCGGTCGTTGCACGTCCCGTCAGATAGCTCGGGTGCACTCGTACTCTGTTCCGCGGTCGATGTTGCATACCAGAACCGGCACTGCGCGACGAGGGGCTTTCGAGGCAGGAGGAGAAGGGAAAGAGGGAAGTCGCACGGTGCCCATTGCGGGGGCTACCGATCTCTCATCAACGGCCGTTCGCTTTATTCACCGAGGTTCGAGCGGGAGCCGATTAAGAAGTCGACGTCCGCCCTTCATTTTCTTCCTCCCTTCCTCCTCAGCGCAGTTGCACTGCCACTTCGATCGCGGGAGTTTTAGAGTCTCTTTGTCGGAGTGACCGTTTTCTCGGCTCGTGGATCAATTTCTAGGGGGAAGAAATTAAACGAATAATCGTCCTGTTACCGCCGGAATAAGCTTTGAATTCGCCAGAGAGAATGTTCCATACATTCGCATTTCGGTATATTTATAATTATTGAAAGTGAAATGAGACAATTGCGGTCGCAACTACAAATTTTATAGACACCAATCTCGTAAATTATTAACCGCATTTATAGTTCAGTTAAGTACAATTCTATTTTTTGTGTTTTTTGGAACAAATATCTGAATTTGTCCAATGTAATTATAAATTAAGTCATTAATCCTTAGCGAAATAATATCATAACGTTTTGAGTTTCGCATGATATCGAACACAACTAAGCGAGAACTAGAAATTTTGAAAATCCTGAGGATTATCCAGGTCGGACGTTATCGTTGATGGTGCGAAAAAGGCAAGCAAGCCGCGGTGCAATCGTCGTATAATAATTGTGTGACTGATGATCATCATGTCTCACGTTTCAAAGTACGTGCGATCTGTCGTCGTAGAAGAATGCGTTTTGATTATCGAGAGACAACGTGCGCGACCGATCACGTGCCTTCTCTCCGTGCATGCATCTCCTCCTTCGTCATCTTCTCTCTTTCGGCTTCTTCTCCTCTTCCTCCTCAATCCAGTTCGTTTTACGGCTGAGGGAAAGTGGCGCGCCCATCGTCCGGTGACTGCGTGGCCCTCGAGCGTTAGCGTCCTCATAAAACGAATCCTCGTGCGAGATGCAGCATTCGCAAATGTGTGATTTACCAGCGCGTGAGTGGATTCCACAATCATCAAAGACACCACGCGCCCATACATTCGTTGCATTTGTTTTAAATAGATTTTAAGTATTTACGCATCTTTCGTAACATTAACGAACAAAAAAGTTGCTAATTTTTTATCTTTTTTAAACTACGATTAAGAGAATGAAAAAGAAATAATCTTTAGTAATTAGTTTAATTTTATTTTTCGAAAATTTATTCTGAATTTTTAGCAAATTTATATATTTCTAGAGCTTTGTAGAAGCATTCGATATATCGATATATATTCAATATATTGATAGGGGAAAGTGTTGTTGACACAACAACTTTAAGAGTACATTTTACAAAGTAAAATTCTTATAAAAATATAAAAGATTTTATTTTATTTAATTTGTTTTTATTCTTGTACGCGCGCTATTAATTTAACAATTACGAGGAAGAAAAGTGAACTAGTATCGTGCTTTACCTATCGATTTAATGTAATGTAAAATTTTCTTTGTGATTTTTACAAGTATTACTATAGAAAACATTTCTCCTCAAGTCTTTCTAAAACAGCTTTCTAAGAGGTCAAAGAGTACTTCGGCGATTGAAACTCCTTTGCCCCGGCTTCTTTAAGCGGGCAGTAGGTCGATAGGAAATTGCGCTCTTTCTTTTCTCATTTTTTCTTTCGATTTAACTTGAGCCCGGGCACGTACCAAATAAATTGAATTCGGCCCGCGCAGGCTCGATCGACGTATAAACTCGCACGTGATTGGCGAAGGTGAGCGGATAGCTCGCACGTGAGCGGAGGCGAGTGCATATACAGAATACTCGTAAGGTGAGCCAAGAAGGCCAGTCCATGTGTGTAAGGGCAACGGGTCGTTGGTACGTTTATGTGCGTAGAAATATATATATATAGGTATTTTTTTTCTCTTTACGCACACGAGTGTACCAACAACTCGTTGCCCTTACACACATGGACTGGCCTTCTTGGCTTACCTAATATATATATATATATATATGGGGGTAGATGTGGGTATTTTAAGTTTCTGGTTTTCTACTTTCTGGCCCTTTTCAAAAAAAAAGAGTCCTTTTATGCAAGAAATTCCTTTTTTTCGCAGATATGCAGAAACTTGAATGTTTGATATTTGCATAAAAAATTGATATTTATTTTCACTGCATAGTAATTTTAATATTTTATTAAATCAATTTTTCTAAATTAATAACTTATAATACAAACATTTTATACATCAAAGATACATATAATAATTATTATTGAGTTCACATAGAAAAAAGTATCTGACATCTCTATACATCTTAATATTCATAAAACAATAACGCTGAATTTTTAATTAACTTATTATATGAAATAATTTTGGTTTTGAATTCGAATTTTCAGTGTTTAAATTTATTTTTAAAGGTGATTCTTATGTCGTCGAATATCGCACATCGAATCTTTGCTGTCGTAGCAGTTGTCATTTGGTATTCAAACAATCCGAAGATAGCTTTCGTCAGCTTCAGTCTCGCAAGAACACTTGGTTCGATACTGTCGTCGATGTTACATCGTACATTGTACATATATATTTTTTTCCTACGATAATTTTTTTCGAATAATTGTATGCACATTTAATTTACCGCTTTTGTTTTTATCATGCAAATAAATAATTATTTATATGTTTAATTATATAATTATTGCATATCTTTTTTTTGTGTTGCAGATTCCAGTTTCATAATTCAGCTTAATCAGTAATAACTTATTCAAACACATTGTGGAAGCCATAAATAACTTCTGTGATAAACGTTCGATATTTGCGGAGATTTGGTAAGTTTTATTTAATTTATTTATATTTTCTAAGATTTTACACGCGATTAACATCTCTTATTTAAATTAATGATATATAAGGCTCTACTGATTACTAAAATCAATGCAAGATCATTAAGATCTTGACTTGTAAGATGTAAAGACTATCTGTTCTCTGTTTTTCCACCTCGTTCTCTCTACGTGGACTAGCGTGGACTTCGACATGAATTTAATTCAATACTAACTTATTTTCTACCGAACTACAATCGGGTGGAAAGGATGATTTTAACGTCTTCTACATCTTTCACGTTATGTAGAATTTTGCGAGCGAATTTTTCTTTTTATTTGTATTATTATTAATGTACACTGAAGAAGGCCTGATGGCAGGCTGAAATATTTGATTTAATGTAAACAATTTTAACGAATATATCTTAACCTTTGCACGAAGAACTAGCATTGTGGCTCCTATTGATTTTAGTCTTATTTAAATGTTATACATAAAGATATCTTTATTAAGATATTTTTAAAGCTATCTTATTTTTAAATATGTCACGACAAAATATATAAAGTTATATCCAGAATATTATTTAAAAAATCTCTCGCAGTTTAACAATTGTACTTCAACATTCTTTAAAAGCTAAACAGAGCCAGGTAAAAAAACTTTTTTTACATTTAAACGATGTAGGTGATTATATTAGCTTTTTACATCAATTACAAACAAAATGCAGTATTTTTATGACTAAAAATTCTTGTTAAGAATTATTATATTTAGATATATTAAACATCTATTTTTCATTAAACGCGAAAGGCTTAAGTTATACCGCAATAATGTAAATATACGAAATGCCATAACGACCACTAAACATTTGCGAAGTAATGATATAAAAATCCTGTCGGCGTGCCATCGAAAGTAAGCTTCCTCGATTCGTCGGCGATTCTCAGCAACACGTGTTTGACCACGTGTCGGCCTATATTGCCGCAACACGGAATCGTTCCTCGTCCTCTTCGCGATTGCGCGTGTCTTGATAATGAGATAAATTTATACGTCCACTCGCGCTCTCGCCGTAGGCGTAGAGAAAGGTGTTTATCACTCATTTCTGCCGCTGCCATTCCTGGAAGCTGCAGTCGTGCTCCCTCAATTAGAAACGTTTTACGATCGGCGAAGGATCGTTCGTTATCAAGGCATTTATGCAATTTATTACGTCCGCGTATCTCGCGCGAGCTAATCGTGAGAAAGAGTTTATCGCCTTCACGACAGTCGCGGTGGATGTGTACTAAATAGTTTGATTATAAAATCATTGTTATTAACATCTTTTTCATTATTTCACGTATAGTTATATTTGCATAAAAATCTACATAAGAAAATAACTGCATTATTTGACTTGCGCGGATCTTTTGCTTTATTCAAGACTATTCTTTTGAATTTGCAGGTATTACCGCAGCCGTTATCGTCACTTCCTCTCGAAATTCAACAATGATATCCCTTACTTATATTATCCTCGGCGTATCTTTCATACTTTTTGCTTATGTCTTTCGCAAAAATTGTAAAACACTTCGACTTCCGCCGGGACCAACCGGTATACCGCTACTCGGATATTTACCATGGCTGGATCCTCAACGTCCTCACGAGTCGCTAACGAATCTGGCGAGGAAGTACGGCCCGATTTGTGGACTACGATTGGGCTCGGTATATACGATTTTATTGTCGGATCCTCAGCTGGTAAGACAGGCCTTTGCCAAAGATGCGTTTGCCGGCAGGGCTCCGCTTTACTTAACACATGGAATAATGCAAGGATACGGTAAGTGATTTTTTATTTCTAAAAATAAATATATAGCAAACAAATGTTCTGATATTAAATTAACAAATCTACAACGTGTACTTTAAGAACGATTTCAAATGGAGGAAATGCAAAAAACGCGTTATTTTACCAACTAAACTAGTTATTTTGTAATTAAATAATTATAATATTAGAATAAATTTTAGATATTTTTCTGGAGGTTTTTAAAATATTTTTATATTTTATCGCCCATTATGATTGAATAGCGATCGAATTGATAGTTTAAATAATTCTCGAAGATATACAAGTCCTCGCTGCGTCGTAAACAATAATACAATATGTATATCGATTGGCAAACATGAGTTGTGAAATATAAGACCTTACAACAATACCTTACAGTGGTGTCGTTGTGTGCTTAGACTGCCCAACTAAATTTCTCTCAAAAAGGTATTGTAAATCCATTGTTATGGACCGTTCAATCTGGAGATTCTATTTAATTATCACAATCCATCTCTCACTACTGCTATCACTTTGCCCTAGAATTTCCAAAAATATTGGTAACAGATTTTGCATCTGTATAACGATTCACCTAAAGGAAGTTTTGCAGAATTTCTGGATGGCATATATCGTGGTCTCAGCCGCTGCCGACCTACACACGCATTCTTCCGCGTTAACCCGCATACGTATACGCACAGTGAAAGTCACTTCAAGGAAACTTCATCCAGGTGTAAACGAGAAATGAATTCCTTTCGGCAACGCGTATTTTGTGTTTGCTCGCGGTGCCATTCTAACAACTCTTGAAGTATTTGCGAGAAGTCATTAGAATACGTTTTGAAAGTAACGCGCAATTCTACCTGAGATTCGTATATACCTCATTTTATTTTTTAAGACACGTAATGCCTACGCAAAACGCTTGAAGTGCAAACAAATGGCAAAAATCTTACACCTTATTTAATGTGAAACTACAGTCAACTATATTGAAAGATTTTTTATTTGAGATGATGACAAAGGTGTCTTTTTTTATATCAAATATTGAAAGAATTTACGAAACGTTATTCCGATATCATTCGACGATGTGATAAGAATGACTGCAATAATGTACGAATGCGTGCAATTGCGATTGTCGTCGGAACTCGTTGCAATACATCATCGCGACATATCAAGATAAAGCTAAGCGTTTCGCCAAGATGTGGATCGTCAATGAGAATAGAACCGATCAGCCTACTGGATGGATGTCCCGTTCTCGCGATAACGAGGACTCTAGATCCGAGTGCCGTTACGATTTTCGATTTACGATCAACGTTGCCGATTGCGGCGCGACATTTGAGCGGGCTATCTTGCATACGCGAGAGCTCGCTCGCTCCGTTGAAATATACGGAGTATCACGAACACGGTATATGATAGATAAGTATCGTGAAACATCGCGCCTCGTCAAGCTTCCTCGGTGCTCTATATTCTGAAATAGAAATATTCGAGTTCAACAAGTTGAATCGATGTGCCCATAAGATAACGCGCAAATTGATGGATATCGAAAGCTCACGATTGTATTGATCTCATTCATCAATCTTTGACCGCGGGCACATACAATATTGCAAATTGGAGAAAAACATTTTGATAAATTGAGTTCTGAAAAACTAAAGACACGTGAATTTCAATTTGCTATGAAATCAAAGTGGTCACACTTAGACCAAGGTTGCCACCACTCTGTGGAACGAATCTAACATGGCCTTTGTGGAATGAAAACAGGGTGACACGAACGTAAGTTTTGACCTAACGGTTTCAACGTCCAACCCAATGGCTTCAGTGTCTAATTCAATAGTTGAAAATTCACAAGGCCACACATGTCGTTCGAGCGGAACGATGGATAATTTTACGGTAATCCGAAATTTAAGCCATGACGATACGGTTCTTTATCCTTATGTCAAAAATCCTAGCTCGTTTGCGAACCGCCAACGTCTTCACTTGTTCTTCGCGCTCTTCTCTTTCTGTCTCTTGCCTTGGCAGAACCCTCCATTGTTCCAACTTTTGTCTCTTTTACGTTTGTTTTTTTTTTTACGTGTGCGTGTGTGTGAGCTTTCGGCGATATTTACAAGGCACGTTTCGAGTCAACGACCCCGTGATTTCTCCATTTATTTCTTTCGTTGCCGATCTTTTACAAGCTCGCTGATCTAACAGACAGATAAATACTCGCATGTATTGCGAGTCAATTGCACGATATTGATTTCGCGATGCTTAACTATCGCTAATTTCAGTTGAAATGTAGGGAATGTGAATCCAGTTGTTTACTGGAGATTTTTATATTGAACTTTCGCATCAAATGACTATTGCAGGTTTATTGCCCGCCATATTTTCATGAGCCTATAAATTTTTAACTAACCAATCCTCATAACTTCTGTCCAAAATTAAAAAAAAAACGACAAAGATACACTTTCTCTGCTAAATGTTGTTCTTTCCAAAAATTTGTATTTTTGAAACAAGTAGCAGTAAAGTTATGGGAAGAGCTATGCTAAATTTAAAAACAGTATAGAAATGAAAAGTGTCACGCAACAAACAAATTTGAATAAATTTCGTGCGTTCAACAAACTGCGTGCGACGAATTGCCGATTGATGAATTTATAATGCATGACAAATCTGTATGATAAATCTGCATTTTTCGCTTTAGAATTTAAAACTTCCCAACATCGATATGCTTCTTTTACTCTTGGGAGAGTTCGGAGTTGGGAGAGGAATCTCTTAGCAGAGTTCGGAAGTCTTCCTCCACTCCTCATAGATGCCCCACCAGAGGCATTCAGGAAAGGTCCTCCCGCTACGAACTCCCTTTCTTTCTCTCCGTCGGAATATATAGTAGTGTAGTGTTTGGTGGGGAGGTAGGCCACGCCTCCATCAACAGGTACATATTTCGTTATATGAAGTTTCGCTAAACTTAGAACAGCCGCAAACGTTCATTCGACTTGGGAGGGAAAGGGAAGCTCTGGAGCTCTAACGTTCGTTTCAAGTGGTGTGGACCGGAATTAGTCAGACGAGCGAGCGTCGGTCGCGGACCGTTACTACTTAGGCGCACGAAAGTGCGTGCCACATATTGAAGTCTCTAAATCCCATTGTTAGACTCGCTGTCGCTTTTCCTCATTTTTCAATATAACGACGACTCGAGCGACATTCTATCTATCTCCCGATATGAATATTAGAATTAATAATGTCAAATAATGTTAATAATATCAAATAATGCATAGATGATGAATATCTATGAAAATAACCGAATAAGAGACAGAAAAAAAATACATTTATTGCATTTGTAAGACAAAATGTTTTATATATTTATGTCGGTCAATAATAAAAATATGTAATATAATTAAGCTCGATAATGACTTATGAAATAGTATACTCTATTGCTTATCAATGACAAAATATATTTCAAAACTGTTGTGTTCAAAAATTAAATATTTTTTATGCTTCTCGTAAAGCTTTTTCTTCGATACTTTGATTGGATGTAATCTAATATTCAATATTACGCTAAATACATCTTGAAAAATTCTCAAAATTATATTACTTAATGATATAAATTTATTCACATAGTTACATGTTAAGTTTTATTTATAAAGTAGAACAGTTTGCACTTTAAATTATTCAAGCATTACACTTTACACTTGCCTAGATAATCTAGAGTGCTTTTGTGAAATCTAATGAGACAAACACTATTCATAAATCGACAATTGCCGCCGATGCTTGCGCGAGAAATGAGCATGGGGAAGAATACCAAGAGGTGTGTGCCTTTTGACGGCGCAACCCGTGATTACCCGACAGCACGTTTACACGCACTTTTATGGGCGCGCTCACATTTCTTATGCGGCCGGCAAACTGGTTGTCTCGCTATGGCGGATAATGTCGTGCGTAATATATTATAGAGCGTGCCGATGGCGATAACGCGCCGTCTGTAAACATATTACGCAATTTTCTGCATCGCGAGTCGCGTGTCTCGCTGCCGGATTTGCAGTTTTCATCTATTTCGTAGAGAACTCTACGATGATATTCTATCGGTGATGATTTAAACGGAGAAAGCGTGCACGAAAAAGAGAGTTCGGAATTTCTTCACGCTATTGATGAAGTATATCGGTGATAATATAGTACGAATGTCTGAGAGTATATGCACCTTTCACGTTCCATTAAAACTCGATATATGTATAAAAGGGCTTGAGGACTTGTAAAATATTTCGCCATTCAAATAACGGCGTTCGAAGTAGGCTGCTTAATCGCTTGGAGTAGATTTCTTAACCGTTTCGGAAAGTCATTCTATAGCGAAATCTGTTGTGACAATAAAATCCATTTAAATTTGTAGAAAAGATAGGACGGAAATGTTGCAGACATCGTAAGTAATCAGGTGATGGAAATCGACTGGCGAAATGCCGATGGTGCGACATCAAACCAAGTAGCAAAGTGTCGTCAATAATGACATCACACATAAATCGACGACATCGATGACACTTTGTGCTACCTGGGGAAGTATTAATAGGCTTCTGCGAAACGAATCGAAAGTGAGAGTAACATTAGTTCTTGTAAGACACGTCTACTGGAGATACCAAGGAATGATCGGCTGATCCTTCACGTTTTTAGACTGAGTTTCGAGAACATTTCTAAAAAATTACACACGCATACACATAGAATGTATACCAAATATTTTAATTTTTTATATATTTTAATATAAATAACGAATAATAAATTTGTAGACGTCTTGCAGTCCTTTTATAGTAACACGAAATAATATTGCACCAAATAAATAAATATGCCAATATGCGTGAAGCGTATAAAAATAAGTAAATTGTTGATTGAAAGAAATATTCGTTCATGCGTTTTCATGGCACATATGATAATTCGCGTGCTATTAATCCTAATAACGAGCGCAGAAAATCGAAGAATGGCTCGAGACCAATTACGAGTACGCACATTGTGATTACAGCCTAGATCAGAAAGCGAAGGAGCGTGAAGACTTTAAAGTGTCGCGTTACACCTTGTAAGTCACGACAAGGTGTGCCGGTGGACGGCGGGAGGTGAGGAAGGGGTCTTGATCTCTTGGAAAAACGCGATAGATCATCGCTGCTACTCTCGTTACCGCGGTGCATCGACCTGCATTGCGGTGATCGTCAAAAGTGTCTGGATGTAACGGCGTTGGCCTTTAAGCGGGTCGACGAAACCTGAAATTCTCGGCGTCCTTGGTGCTGCCGCTGCCACACATGAGCAGCGATAGCGTCGACGCTAATTTCAGCCGATAAAAAAAGGACCGCACTGTCGCGATTCACTTTTATGACATCGCGATTCACTTTAAGCCAGTTGATATTATCCTTCGACAAGGACGACCGACTTTTCGCCACCAAAATCATTAAAATAATGCTGTTATTTTTTTTTTTTCTTTTTCGGACACAGAAAAATTTTTATCAAAAGACACAACATGTAAACTTAATGATTTGATTTTTTTTCTCTTGATATTATCCTGTAAATAAAGAATGTGAAAGTTAAGACCGACAGTTAAACAATGTAGCATATGTTTCTCAATGTTTTCTTCGAATATCACTTTCTTATTATTTAACGATAAAATGTGAATATCAGAATTTTCAATCCACAAATGTCTTGATTAAATAAATCACTGCGTAGAGAAAAAAGTAAACGATCGCACCTTGCGTAGATTCTTTTTATATCAATTCGAAAAAGGCAACGCGAGTAGACGTGATCGATCACGTAACGCGATGATCTACATTGCTGTAGAAAAGTCGCAGTTCCAATCGGACTTGGCATACCACAGCACTGACTCAACGATGTAGTCAGGCGCGCGCGCGTAAAATAAACATTGCAAGCGAGCTTCCAAGCGACTATTCCCGCTTGGCTTATTACAAACGCGTAACACTGACGTAAGATGTCCGCGATTTTCCCGACGGCTTGTTTTCCTCTTTCGAGCGCGGGAGTGGGTGTGGGTGGAATTTCATTTTTTCCCTCATGGCGATCCTGCTCTCCACGCAGTATCCTTGTGTCTCTTTTTCATTCTACATAAGTGCTACTGGTTTTTTTTTTTTTTTTACAACATTTATTGTTGTCAAAAGACCTAAATGACTTCCAAGTCTAACACTATTCTACGTACAAGTGGAAAACTATTGAAATGTTTTCCAAAAACGGAAATCTGATCGAAGAAATTCGCATTTGTTATTCAGCGATTAGATAGTTGCATAAAATAGATTATTGTAGAACGCGCGCTTGCAATCTGTATTTTTAACTAGCAATTGTGCGGCGTGGATGAAGCAAGCCACCGGCGCCGTCTCGGGGTTCAATCTTTCTCATTTTCGTAACAAGCAGGGCGGATACGCGATTGAATAAGTTAGGCACGTCCCGGGACCGGCCGCGACTCGCGCCGACGCGAAGGACTCTCACTTTTATCGGTCTCCTTGAAGGAAGTTCTCCCGGTCGTCGACAGTTCTGCTCTGCATCCGCGGGGAATTACAGTTAGCTCCGCAAGGACGGGCCGACGGCCTCTCCCGTTAAAAGCGACAGAGCGTTGCATGGATGATCGGCGTTTGCATCGTCGACCCGCACGACCCGCGCGCGTTTCAAAATCATCAATAATCAATATTCGAAATTCTCCATCTTTGTTAACGCAATTAATTGAGATGTTGCTTGACGAGAAATAGCGGCGGTAATAATTCAATAACTCTTTATTTCACGATTTCGACTGCTAATCTTACATGAGTTAGCTCTTTGAACTTCTGCAGTCTTTAAAAATTTATATAGGCCATGAGAATGTCATATAAATAATTTGCTTATCGATTATGTCGATTTCATATGTCACATTTGTCATAAAATAATGCCAAATCGAATCGACAATCAAACGGGAAAGTTTTTCTTAATATCAGAAAAAAGTACTTGAAAGTCTACGATTTCTTTAAAATCTGAAATATTTAAATCAAAATTAATACAAAATCAGTTTTTTAAATTTCTTTCTCGAACTCTGAATACATGTATATTGATGAGAAAGATTAACTTGATTAATGAATTAAATAGATTGGATACTCTCAAATTTTTATACTTTCGCGACAGGAAAATTTTCGGTAACGTCTAAAACGATAAACATATCTGCTTGCAGTTTTTAAGCAATTCGCAATGCTAGCTTTGAACAATAATAATTAGAAAAATTATCCGAATCCGTCCTGACTTTTAAAGAGCAATTTTCAAACCATTACTATTCAATATTCTCATCGATTAGTCATTAATATTTCATAAATTATCGTGCCATTAATTATCTCCATTGTACTGATTCAGCCGTCGAATCTTGCAATCGGAAGATTGTCGGCTATTAACTGCGCGATAAAGACGTTGAATCTTCCACGACGACGTCGGTCTTCACACGTATTACGAAATGCATTCCTTCAATAAGGAACTAGACGGGACGTACAATCGTTCAGCAAAAGAAATCTTCTTCGTGTTCTTCTGAGCTCGAAAATTCTATGCATAATTCGGTCGCGGACGTGCGCGAAGGAGTCATTGCCGAATAGCCGACTGACCGACAGAAGAGTTATCCAGGTATTTTAATAACGCGCTATAAAACGCGCGATCGATCGGTCGACTGTATTTGGACAGGACAACTATCCGCGTGTCTCTCTCCCCCTTCTCGCGTTGCACTTCGCCGGCTTTTTGCCGGCCAAAGTGGAATGACCGGCCCTGAAACGTTCGGACGCATGTATGCATTATCCGTCTCTTGTCCGGTTTATTTCTGGCGGTTCGCGAATTCGTGAGCGCTCCTCTCCCTCCGCCGCGTCCGAGTGATGTCATCCCCTGAAATCATCGCGGCGGGGTGTTTAGTTGTGTAATAATCGACCGGCAAGGAGATCCCATTGTCCGTAGCTTTGCGCCTGCCGCGCAGATGCATCGCTAAAAAGGTGAGCAGAGAGAGAACAGCGCGTCAGCTACAAAGAATTATAAGACTTATCTGGTCTCTTTTTTTAGAGTTCTTTCTCAAAAATTGTTTATCAGTAATTCTCTTTCATCCTTTTTCTCTCATAAAATTCTTTCTATTTTATCCTCTAGATGTGGAACATTTGTTTCTTTATTTCTAATTTTTCCTTAATAAACCAAAGAGTTTTCAACGAATCTTCAAAGAATTTTAGATTATCTTAATTGAATTAACTGTCTTAACTAATGAAGAATTAATTAAAAATATATTTAAGAATCAGATGTTAAAAAATAATAAATTTTAATTGGAAGAAAAATTTAATTCCTAATCGCATATTATATTACTATTCAGAAATCATAGAAGCTATTTATTTAAAAATGAGCAAACGACATTTGTCTTTCGGCACAGACAGTGTGGAGAAATGGAAAAAAATGCATTTTTGTTTAAAGCTCTGTTATAAATTATGATTTTTTATTTTATCAGACAGACATGATCTAGAATTGATCGCGAATTGAAGAGAAATTAATGGCGCACGTGGCGCACCTGCGATCCCGGAAAGTTTTCTTGGCGTCATTTAAATACGACACTGACCTATCGACAGCACGCTGCCTCTTAGAACAAGCTGCGAATGATAAATAGTATCGCAAACACACAGTGCGCGGTAACCTATTTGTACCCTGCGCCGATGGACTTTCATTATTTCTTCTCTCGGCGCTCGTCTCGAGCGTGCTATGACGAATTCTAAAACGAATTCGCTAAAACGATCGTTTCTCTCACTGTACATTCGCTTTCGTTTCTCGGAAATGTGCGCAGATGAAAATCACGAGTCAAAATACATCTCTTCCTTGTGCGGCGCTTCCTCCTTTTCTTCCTTACGCAATTGATCAAATATATTACGTTATCAATTCACGTGTAATATGAAAACAGAGAGGAGATCCAAGATAAATATAGCGTCTGATAAATTGCGCACCGAAGATCTCGATCTGTATTCTCGTGGCGCGTCGACTATAAACCTCGATAATCTCATTGAGCGATGATCAGGATTCTGAGATCATTCTTGCGCCGGTGACGCTTGCGTGTGATCTGGCTGCAAAATCGACGGAGTAAGTGTGCATAAGCGACACATCTTCACCGTGGCGCAAAGTTTCTTATCTTATTTCCGATCAAGTTTATAATTTTAATTATCTTTTAATGGCTTCGCCTCGCATAAAAGATTCCGTAAGCATATAATTATGAGGCTTCCTATAGGCTAATTAAATATAATTGCTGCGTGCATCTAAAGAATTTAATATCGACAGCCTACTTTACCTGCACTTATGCGAGTCGTCATTATTATTTTATTTTCGGTATTTAAGAGAGATATAATAAGCGAATGAATACAAAGAAAAGAAAGGAGAGAGAAAGAGAGAGAGAGAGAGAGAGAGAGAGAGAGA